AAATAAATAAATAAAAAATAAATAAAGCCTAGGTTTGATTTAACATTTCTTATTCTTCAGCAAGTTTCCACCATTTTTCTTTCTTTCATTATGTTCCTTTTTATCCAGGTTTCACATCCACCAATTGGTGGTGCCTTCCCCCAGAATAGAAAGGCACCACTTGAAGAAAGCCTATTAAAGGACAATGCTAGAGTTTCTCTCTGATTCCTAAGTGTCAATAAAAATTCTCCAATCTAGTTCAAAGCATACCACAACCTCCTTAAATTTGCATTACTCTCACACTGTTTTCATCTGCTGTAACATGAAAGTCTTGTGATCTTATTATCTTATACAAGAACATGGAGCATTGTGTAACCAGGCCAGGTATTTGAGGCCATGCCTACCTTACATGGTCCTGAGGGTCTGGGATTTTTACCCATCATAGGCAAACCAGCTGTCCATACTTGACCATACTTTTAAAAGCCATGACTCTAAACTGTTGGTTGTCTTACCCTAAATCATTGAATCACTCCTTACATTTAGCCCCGGAATTAGTAAAGTAAGCATAAAATATATATAAAAACAGAGTGCCAAGATCTTTTTCATTTGATTGCATTTTATTGTGCTTGCTATCCTGGCTGGATTAGATATATATTCGGTAAGGGGTAATATGAGCTTTGATTAGGTAGAATATGACAGGTAGAGTTAGGTAGGGTTAGATGTAGTGAAGCTTTATTTAGCTTCACTTTATTAATATATTGTTTAAATCAAAGTTTTGTCCTGATTTTTCCTAGCACATTAAAAGCTGTAGTCCAAACAGGGCAGCTGCTAAAAACATGTTAATTCATAGAATATGTTGTGTTACTGGAGATTAAACAGAAAATAAAATAAAGTGAACTCAAGCTTGAACATGTGCAGCAGCGCTGATGGGGAACATTTTCTGCTGAATCATTACTTTTAGTGCTGTTACCAACTGTGTAGTAGTGTTGGCATCATGGACGGGCTTTGGGGGTTCAGGCCCACTCAATATAGTAATTATGCCCACTCAGCTGAATTCTGCTGATACACTATAAGTTACGCTAATTTATACAATTTTGTAATGAAAAACATAAACATTCATATCTCCAAAAAGTGTAATGTAGTGTGAGCTTAGTTTAATTATTTGGTTCACTGTAGTTTAGTGCTTTAGTGGGAAGTACTTCATGTGTCTTTGAAGCTAAAATGAGGTCATTCATCAGCTTGTGCAGCTAGTTTTAAAGCATGGTCCTACTGGAAAAATGCAAAACAAATGGAAATGCGGTGCTCACGGTAAACTGCTCAATGGTGAGTTCACTGATCCACTTTCTACATCCAGTGAGAATGTTTCTGCTGTCTCCTGTTTGTCTCTGCAATCCAAGATAGACATTTGTGCGCATTTCTAACTGTGGCTACATTTCTCTATGTGTGTACTTTGTGTGTTTATGATCCCAAGGGTCCCAACCCTGATGTGTAGTGAGGTGTTTTCATTGCGTATTTTTGCTTTTTGT